TAGGGAGAAGGTTTTTATGGAAGGGTTCAGGTTGGATGTTAGGGAGAAGGTTTTTATGGAAGGGTTCAGGTGGGATGTTAGGGAGAAGGTTTTTATGGAAGGGTTCAGGTGGGATGTATAGGGAGAAGGTTTTTATGGAAGAGTTTTGATGAAGTTCTGGGATGGCTGCCCGGGGAGGTGGTGCAGTCCCCATCCCTGGGTGTGTCTAACAAAGCCTGGATGTGGCACTGGGTGCCAGGGTTGGACCCGATGGGCTTGGAGGTCTCTCCCAGCCCAGAAATTCTGGGATTCTCCTAAACTGAACTGGTCAGCAATGAGTGAAACCCAGCTCGCTGCTTGCTAAGGGCTCTCGAGTCTGTCTCTAAGTTCTTCTCTCTAGATATGCTCACATATTTTCTCCACTGGTTTTAATGGGACAGAATTCTTGGTTTTGCAGGCATAGACAGTCTTGTAGAGACTGTTTTCCTCTACAAGAAGTCTGTTAAATGTTTGTCATTCATAATTCTTCCTGATAAGATCTAATAAAGCCTGTTGGTAATTCAGAATTCAGCACAGAAGGCCTGACAGTGGTGACACAGCCCAGGGACAGAGCTGCCACCCACCCCAGGGACCCCCAAACCCAAACATCTCATCATCATCATCTCATCATCATCATCATCCCAATAATAATAAAATATAACAATAATAAAACATAAAAATAAGTAACAGTGAATAATGAGTAATGATAATAACAATAATAATGATAGTAATTATAGTGATTGTAACAACAACAACAATAATGATGATGATGATAATAATAATAATGATAGAGTCTGAGCTGCACAACATTCCAACACCAAGGGCTGCATCCCAGGCTCCCGAGTGCCAAAGGGAAACGATCCCAGCTCAGCCCAGCCCTCCAGCAGGGCACCCTGCTGCCCCTGCAGCCTCAGCTCGTGCCCCAGGCAGGGGCACACATCTGCACCCTGCTGCCCCCGGGCAGATCCCAGCTCCGGGGGCTGCTCCTGGCCCCGCTGGGATGGGGACGGGGTTCCCACGCTGCCCGGGGTCCCCCAGCCCCAAAAACCAGACCCCAGGCCGGGGCTGCTCTGGGAACAGCCGTGCTCTGCCTGCTCCCTCAGTGCCACCCCAAACCTGCAGGACAGCCCTGGAAGCAGCAGGGGAGGGAGGAGAGGGCAGAATTCCTTTCCAGGTCTCCTTCCCACCAGGGAGGATTCCCTCCTCCTCCTCCTGCTGCTGCTGCCACCTCTCCCAGGGGTGCAGAAGCTTCAGTTCCCTCCCGATGCTCTTACTCAAAGGTCTCACGAGCAAAGCCACAGACCTGATTTAGAAAAACACCGATTTTTTTTTTTTCCCCCCTACAGCTGTGTCATTAAAGCAAAAAAAGGGAGGGGGGAGGGGATTTAATAACACTTAATTACCATAAACTCTATCGGATCAGCCGCAGAGCAGATTTCAGGTGCAAGGAGGGGAGGGAGAATGGGGGTGGCGAGGGGAGGCTAAGAGGAAGGAGGAATCCAGGGAAAGGCTGGATTTCCATGCTTAAAACTTGGAAGATTTCACATGACTCAGCCAGCAGTAATTCCAGCTTTGCTGGAGCTTTGCTGTCTGCTTTTGTCATTACCAGGGGTAATGCTGGAGACTGATCTCGCCAAATCTCCCGCAGCCGCCAGGTGTGAAATGGACTCTGGCACGGCCCTGGGGGGCAGAGCCGAGCCCGGGGCATCTGCTGGGCCCTCTGCAGGGCCAGCACATGCCCCTGAGCAGCCCAGCCCAGCCTGTGCCAGGGCACTCGGGTTCCCAGAGCCTTGGCACCTCGCTGTGCACGGCCTCTCCAGGACATCTCCTCAGCCTCATCCTCCCCGGCAGCCCCGACACGACAGGAGCACCCAGCCTGTCCATCCAGCCCTGCAACAAGCCAAGGCTCCCTTTATCCAGCCCCAAGCCGAGCTCGAGGACCTGCAGCAAAGCCATCTCACCCCAGAGCCCAGGCCAGGCTTGGCCAGCAGCTCCAGGGGCTTTTCTTGCCTGTGCCCACCCTTGTTCAGCAGCCTGGCTTTGGGGCAGTGATGCTGTCAGCAAGAACGGGGCCTAAACCTCATTTCTTCCCCTGGGCTACCAGAACAGCTGCCAGAGGCACCAGCAGATGGATGTGCCCCCAAAGCAGAGGGACAGACGGACAGAGGCTGGATCTGAAGTGCTCAGCTGCAGCTCAGCTCTGGTTCTGGGCCCCTCCGTTAACCAGAGATCTTCTTTGGGTTTAAATGGTCCCCAAGAGCACAGAGGGGGATGGCAGCAGCAGCAGCAGCCTGTGAGCTCATCCTCACCCCAGGGAACGAGCCCCAGAGCGTTCCCGACGTGTGACTTGCAGCTCTCCATCCAGCCTGCTGCCCACCCTCCTCGAGCCCCCTGCCAGACATTCCTCAGCTGCTCCGAAGGGAACCGGGACGCTCGTCCCATTCCCCCCATCCTCCAGGCTGGAGGTGCTGGGGAGGAGCCCTGAGGAGCTGGGGAAGGATCTCCAGCCACGCAGGAGGAGGTTCCATGGGAACCTGGCCCCCCGTGTGCCCTGCCAGCACAGCCCTGGCTCCCACAGAACGTTCTGCTCCGTCTGACAGCGTTCCCCAGACAGGGCTGGCTCCCTTTTGATCTCCAGAGCGAGCTCGGGGAGGGGGCAGGGCAGGGAAGGCTGCTTCCCTCTGCGAGGCTTTCCAGCCCTGCAGGTGTTTTTTCGCTCAGCAGTGATTTCCTTGGCTGCCTCTGCTCCCCGGGCCCCGCCAGGAGCGGCCACGGCAGCGCGAGCGGAGCCGGGTCACCGCTCCTCTTCCAAGGCTCCTCTTCCAAGGCTCCTCTTCCAAGGCTCCTCTTCCATAGGCTCAGCTTCCATAGGCTCAGCTTCCACAGGCTCCTCTTCCACAGGCTCTTCTTCCAGAGGCTCCTCTTCCCGAGGCTCCTCTTCCCGAGGCTCAGCTTCCCGAGGCTCAGCTTCCACAGGCTCCTCTTCCAAGGCTCCTCTTCCATAGGCTCAGCTTCCAAGGCTCCTCTTCCAAGGTTCCTCTTCCCGAGGCTCAGCTTCCCGAGGCTCAGCTTCCACAGGCTCCTCTTCCACAGGCTCCTCTTCCACAGGCTCCTCTTCCAAGGTTCCTCTTCCACAGGCTCCTCTTCCCGAGGCTCAGCTTCCACAGGCTCCTCTTCCAAGGCTCCTCTTCCTGAGGCTCAGCTTCCACAGGCTCAGCTTCCACAGGCTCCTCTTCCAAGGCTCCTCTTCCATAGGCTCAGCTTCCACAGGCTGCTCTTCCTGAGGCTCAGCTTCCACAGGCTCCTCTTCCACAGGCTCCTCTTCCACGGGCTCAGCTTCCACAGGCTCCTCTTCCAAGGTTCCTCTTACACAGGCTCCTCTTCCAGAGTCAGCCCAGCTGTGCTTGAGCCAGAGCTGCTCCCAGGGCCAGTGTGGGATGGAGAGGGGCAGATCCTGCTGGGATCTGGGATGGAGAGGGGCAGATCCTGCCTGGAGCCCATCACCACCCCAGGGATGCAGGAGGTGCAGGAGCAGCACCAGGCTGCAGGAAAAGGGGTCCCAGGAGATGCTGCAGCCCTGGCTCCTCCAGCAGGACACGTGGGGCTGATGGGATCCTGCATTCCAGCCGGCCCTTGCTTCCCTTCCCACTCCCAAAAGGCACTGCCAGGGGTTAGGACACAAACCCTGGGGGTAGCCACTCCTGTCACCCCCTTTTCACACCAGGAAACAGCCCCAAAGCACAGAAACCTCAGCTCCTCACCATTCCAATGGAATGGCAGCATCAGCACAGCCAGGGCTAAAATTCCTGCACAGCTCTGGAGGGAGCAGGGACTGCCCCAGCCTGAATTTCCATTCTGTCTCACCTCAGAGTGGAAGTAAAAAATAAAACTTGGCTTTATTCAGGGCTTCCTGGGAACCCCTCTGTTAAAAAGCTGGGAGAGTCCCTGAAACTCCAGGAGCCGAGGAGCAGGATTCAGATCCTGAGTGCTTCCTGCAAAGCCAAGGGCTCCTCAGCCCACAAAAAACAAGGTGGGAAGGCCAAAGGAGAGGAACAGAATGAGATCGCTTGACCCCTGCCAGAAACATCCACCTGTGCCAGCTCAGGCACTTTTTTAGGACGAATCCAAAGGCAATCCCTTGGTTTCATGTGCTTGGTTAAAGTTCAGCCCATTCCCAGCCAGGCCCCACAGGTTCTGATCCCTGGACTCAGTTCTCACCACAAAAACTTGGAAACACGAGGGGCACAACCTCAGCAGGGACAGAAAAATAGAAAATGTGTCCCCGGGGCCTCACATGTGATGGAACAAATCTGTTTATGAGCCTGTGGAAGCATCACCTGGAACTCACCTGCCACCAGAAACATTTCAGGCATAACACAAATAGAGCAGATGGGGGGTAAAAAATCAAGCAAAGCATAAAGAGGAGCAGTTTAAAGGGTTCCCAGTAAAATCTGAGGCATTCCTGCTGTTATGAAGGAGTTAATGGGCAGGAGAGGGTTACATAAAAGAGAGGATTTAGTATTTGCTATGGAGTGACACCAGCACTGGCATCCTCTCAGAGAATTCTGCCTTCAGAGCATCACTTGGGCACAAGGAGGGAAGAAGCAGGAACATTCTGTGAGATCAGGACGCAGGACAGGGCCCCACGGTGGATCCCATCAAGCAGAATATGAAGCATGTGGGTTTAGGAAGGCTCCAGGACCAACTGCTGCAAGAAGTGCCCCGAGATTCCCTGGATGGGTGGCTGGGAATGCAGCCCTGGCACAGGCTCAGCTGGACTGCAAGGGTCCAGCCTCACACACCTCTGGGTGCTCCGTGGCCAGAGTGCAGCCTAGGCACAGGGAGGGAGGTGGGTGCTACTGACAGCTAATTAGTCTGATATTAACAACAAAGCCTTTAAGTAAACGGCCTGCAAAACCTCATTTACTCAACCTGGAGACAAACTCATTAACTGCAGGCTCCATTACCCAGCCCACTTTGCCAGTCGTAAAGAAAGTTTAAAAATCCTGTTTATAGGAAAGAACTGGAAGGCAAATCAAGAGATAAAAAAAAACAACAACAACAAAAAACCAACAAACCAAACCCTAAATAGAGAAACCTTCTGCAGATTCCATCGCTATAGGAACGGTGCCATAAATGCATAAGAGAAAACTCAGCAGCCCCATTCTCCCTGACAGGCTCCTTTTTTCCCTTTAAAGGAGCAGATGCCAGCACGATAAGCCCGTGTGTACCTTTCACATTAAACATGTCATCAAGACATTCTGCCTGAAAAAGCAGGAACACCCCTAAATCCACCTGGAAGGCTGCAGCCTGTTTTTTTTTCCATCATCAAGCAATTACAGTAATTAAGAGGCAATCCCTCTGCCGCCCTGCAAGGCTCCCCCCAGGAGATAAAGGAAAAGCAGAGCCCTGCGCCTCCTCCTGCACCCCCAGTGCCAGACACAGCTCCCAGCCCACAGCCCTCCCTCCTTAATTTCAATTAAGTTCCACTCAGGGGAAAGGAGAAGAAAGGGGAAGGGGATGGGGGAGGAGAGCAGCACTTACCCTTTGGGGACTCACTTCGGGCTTTCTTGCTCTCTAAAGGACACTCACTGCTGCTGTTGGGAGAACATACTCTTCTCTTGCCTAAAATTTCATCTGGGAGAGAGATGAGAGAGCCGAGTGTCAGAGGAGGCTGCACTTTCCTCTTTGCAGGAGCGACCAGAGAGACTTTGGTATTTTGCTGCTCTCTCTCACACACACAGACACACACACACTCTGATATTGCAAGCAGAGAGAGGAAAAAATGAAAGTAAGAAAAATCATCATCTTGAGAGCCTTGATCTGCTTTCCTAATCACGCAGCCCAAAAGCACATAATGACTGTTCATACACTGATCAATGCAACGTTTTCCAGCCATAAATTCTGAATCCAGTTGATTTCCTTACTGAGTTTCATCATTTGCTCTGGTGCCTTTTGTCCCCCCGGTGTTTCCACTCCTTTCATGCCCTGATGCAAAGCAACTGGGGGAGAGGAAGGGGAGGAAAAAAACAACACAGGGAAAAAAAAAAAAAAAAAAAAAAGGCACAACAGATCTCTGAATCTTCCTAGCACAGTATCTCTGTCTCTCCCTCTCTGTCTCTCTCTCTCTCAGTCTCTCCCCCTCCCTCCCCCCTCCTCCTTCAAAACCTCAAGGTCCTCAGCAATCTTCCCCCTCTGGATTGCACGGAAACACTCAAGCCTTTTGCATTACTGCAGCCCTCCGAAGCAACACCAAATCTCTAATACACAATTACAGCGTCCCCGAGCAGATTTCCAATCAATATCCTCCCCTAATAACGCCGGGGAAACTGAAAGCATGATGGTGCATATGGGCAGGAAGGAAGAGCCTGTTTGTCACTGCAAGCATCAAATTCTCATCTATCAAGGGCTTGTTAAAGATGCAGCATCTTTAAAGAAACAAAAAAAAAACCAAAAAAAACCCCCCAGAAATCTCACAAACAAGCAGCACATTTGAGTGAGAATGGACTGGATCTGCCCGTGAGCCCAACCACGGCTGCAGCCTGCCCGGAACGTGGGGGTTAAGGAGGGTTACAAACCCCCTCGCTCCTATTTAGAACAACAACAACCACATTCTGCCCGTTGCAGGGGACATTTCCAGGCAGCAGCTGTCCCCTGCGCTCAGCATCACTCGGGATGCAGCTGAGCAGCCCAGGTCGCTGCCGTGGCAGGGATTTCTGGGGGATCAGAGCACGGGGCTGAGCACAGCAGGTGCCTCTGCCCAAGCAGCTCCAAGTGGCATTTCAAGGCTTTAAAGAGCACCGAGGCTGCCTGCAAACTCAGCTTGCCACGACCCTGTCACCAAATCCTGGGCAGAGTGGCGCTGGGGGACGGTGCAGAGGCTTGTGAGCCTGCAGGACCCAAAGGCAGGGAAGGAGAGAAGCTCCAAGGGACCTGGTGAGGACCAGGGAAGGACAGAAGCACCGAGGGACCTGGGGAGAGCCAGGGAAGGAGAGAAGCACCGAGGGACCTGGGGAGAACCAGGGAAGGACAGAAGCACCGAGGGACCTGGGGAGAGCCAGGGAAGGAGAGAAGCTCCGAGGGACCTGGGGAGAACCAGGGAAGGACAGAAGCTCTGAGGGACCTGGGGAGGGCCAGGGAAGGACAGAAGCACTGCTGACAGCGCTGGAGCTCCCTCAGCACTTCACATCCCAGCTGCTGGCTCAGCCTGTCCACACCGTCGGAATTTTCCCACTCCTCCTGCCTCAGTTTACCCCTCACATAACTCCTCCACAGCCACAGCTCCCCGAGCTCGGGGGTGCCTGGCCGGGAGCACACCCAGAGCCCCCAGCTCGCTCCCTCTCACTGCTTTTCCTGGGAGCCTTGACTGCAAACCCCCAGTGCTGGAGGCCAGGATCCATGCCCTGCTCCTCCTCGGGATGCTCCCGGGCAGGATTTGTGCCTCTGGAGCAGCTCGAGCCCCGCTGGCCCCTCGCAGCCCGGCTGGAGCAGAGGAGGCTCCATGGAAAAGGCTGTGGCAGAAGCACGGGCTCCATGTGACAGCGCTTGGAATGCCAGCAGCCAAGATTCCCTGCTTTCACAGCTCTGCCAAGGCACCTCGTCCCCCCATCCCTGTTCCCTCCCGCTGCTCCTTCCCACCCCCGGGCCCATCTGCCAGCAGACACTGCTCCGGGGCCTGCTATTCCCAGATTCCACAGATATTCACAGCTATCCCTGC